GTGGCCTGCAACAGGCCACTGCTAATTGAGTCGTTCTGGGCCTAGTCAGAATCCAAAACCGCTGAAAGGCCACAACCAGGCTGCTAAGGCCTTGGGAAAGCCGTGTGATAGAGGTAGGCTTAGGCTGACACATGTGTGAAGTCTTGCGGGCCTCTCCCACAGACCCTTCATGAGCCACGCGAGCAAAGGCCTTCTGTGAACTGGAGGCTTAGGCCTTCGCAGCCTACATTTGCATGTGCGTTGTTGCTGTTGATCGAGCCCCGAGAGGCCCCAGTAAGGTGCCGTCACAAGGAAATCTCAGCGAATCTTCCCTTGTAACTTCTAACTATCAATTGCACAGACGCACGACAAGCAACGACGGCGTTCATCATCCCATCTAGATAGTCACACCAAAACCCGGAATGTTGTGTTGAATTTTGAAACCCTAAGCCCTAAGCCGGAAGCACATGACTTGCCACCTCTGGCGGCTCTGGCGTGGCACGAATGTTAGCCCAGACCGGCGGCACTGGTCTAAAGCGTGCCTCGCATTCGGGGGGTCGGTTCTGGGTTTTCTCGGGCTGCTTGCAGGGCCGCATACATGTCATGAAACTGTCAGGCCCAAAAGGACAACCCCCCCAAGCCCCGATTGGCGTCCCAACTCAAAGCTTCGACTGACATGTTTCGTAGCACCCCCCTGTGGGCCTTGTGCGCCTCAGATATGACCGGTAATTCCCGACCCGTGTGACAGCTTGCAGTTCGGACACCGCAATGGATCTCAAGCCCGCCACCCCATCCCTGTGGTTTTTGGCACTTCTACTTCATGCGGCAACTCGTTTGCAGACTAAAACCCCTGAACACCCATCGCATCGCAGCCAATCCCCACTGATTTTCATCATGTGCTAAAAGCCGTTCGCAAACCAGAAAGCGACTGCAGCAGGTGACTCTAGCGTAAAGAGATTGCACAACACTGACGCCATGGTTGTCGCCTCTTCCATCTCTGTTTCGGCCACACCTTCTAGCTCTGTGACCTGCAACATGCAACTGCTACCTTATGGGCCTCATCAGAATCCAAGAAGCCATGGATTGCTCCTGCCTGATTTGCAGGGTGACTTCCCATTTGGACACTCTTCTGATCATGCCCGGACCCTCGCAGCCTCAAGAGTCGTTGCCATCAATCCAAGGTGACGGAGAGCGTCAGATGCAGCTTGCTCGGCCCGCGCCTGCTAGCTACGGACCTACCTGTCTTTCACGGATAGTGCGCAGAACTGCCAAGTTGCAAAAAGCCCGAAGGTGCATATGGAGCTAGAAGCACATGATTGGCAGGACTCTGGCGTGGCCTCTGGCGTGGCAAAATAACTAGCCGAGACTTGTGGCACCGGATCCAAGCACACCTCACACATTGCCAGAACCAGAAGGGATGAGCAAAGACACTTCGACCATCGTTGGGGTCGGTTCTGGGTTGTTTCTCGGGCTGTTCGCCGGCCTCAAACATTTCACGAAACGAACGACGTGCTAGCCACAGGAAGCTTCTGGACCGAAATCACACAACACCTCGCTTCATCTAGCCACAATCTGGGTCAACAGCTGCCAAGCCCAAACGTGCTGGAGCCAAAGACGCTGTCGAGCCCCAAGCCCAAATTGGCGTCCCAACTCAAAGCTAAGACTGAAATGTTTCTTAGCACCCAGCAATAGCAACATAGTAATAGAAATAGTAGCTATACTAACACTAACAAGAACAGTGAGAGTAGCAATACTAAATTGTAACAGCAGTAACAGTGAAAGTCACAGTTACACGGGCAGGAGCTGGCTCAGCCAAACGTAGAGTTCTCCTAAGCTGTCACACTGACACAAGACTCCCTGAAGTCTGTGGAAGGTTGGTGCAACAACAACAGCGTACTCCAAGAAATATGCCTTTCTCCAACAGCTTCTTGGGCGCTGGGACTGCATTCCCGGAACACCTCCATACTTCCCCATTCTTGCTTGTGACAGTTTGCAGCTCGGACACCACAATGGTCGCAAGACCCAGAAAAGGTAGCGATACGCGGATCTCAACCCCGAGCCATCGCATCGCGGCCAATCCCAAACAACCGTTGGAGAAACAAGCGACGTCAGAAGGTGACTCTAGCGTAAAGACTGCACCACACTCGCCTCTTCCATCGCTGTTTCGGCGACCTTGACTTCCAGCTCCTCCCGCAATGTGGCCTGCAACAGGCCACTGCTAATTGAGTCGTTCTGCGGCCGCTAAGGCCTTGGGAAAGCCGTGTGATAGAGGTAGGCTTAGGCTGACACATGTGTGAAGTCTTGCGGGCCTCTCCCACAGACCCTTCATGAGCCACACGAGCAAAGGCCTTCTGTGTCCTGGAGGCTTAGGCCTTCGCAGCCTACATTTGCATGTGCGTGCAGTGTTAAGAGTTGTTGCCGTTGATCGAGCCCCGAGAGGCCCCAGTAAGGTGCCGTCACAAGGAAATCTCACGAATCTTCCCTTCTAACTTCTAACTATCAATTGCACAGACGCACGACAAGCAACGACGGCGTTCATCACATCTAGATAGTCACACCAAAACCCGGAATGTTGTGTTGAATTTTGAAACCCTAAGCCCTAAGCCGGAAGCACATGACTTGCCACCTCTGGCGGCTCTGGCGTGGTAAGACTGTTAGCCCAGACCGGCGGCACTGGGCGAAAGCGTGCCTCGCATTCGGGGGGTCGGTTCTGGGTTTTCTCGGGCTGCTTGCAGGGCCGCATACATGTCATGAAACTGTCAGACCCAAAAGTTCAACCCCCCAAGCCCCGACCAACTCAAAGCTTCGACTGACATGTTTCGTAGCACCCCCCCTGTGGGCCTCAGAGATGACCCGGTCGCCCAAGCACAAGCATTTATGATGTATGACAGCAATCATATTACTCACACGGCCTTGGGAAGTACTTGTAGCGTGATTTCTGGGTGCGGCTTTACGGCCTCACGACCTGTCGTCTTCTGTCGTTGTCGGGCCCCACCCAGCAAGGTGGTTTCCCCAAGACCATTTCAACAAGCTGCATCTTCTGCTGCCCAGCAAACGACAAGCAACGATGACGTTCATCAACCAAGCTGTCTGCGAATGAAATACATCATCACACCAAGGTCTAAATTTTGTCGGGGATGCAGGGTGTGGCTTGGGTAGGATGCACCAAGAGTTCTAGAGGCCTGGCCTTGCGTCGAACGACAACGTAGATAAGGCCAGCGCAGCAACACCTTCACAACAACTTTTCCGCACAGCCTCACATGAATTGTCTCCATGCAGTGCCAAGGAGCAGCCCACCAAGTGCACCGGCAAGGACGGCCACGATCAGAAGAGAATCGTCCTGGGGTGTGGCCTGCACAGCTTGTGATCGAAGGCTGTGCAGCTGAACTGAGCCAACACACTTTGCTTCGCCAGAACTTCAGTTCGAGGCAGGTGGTTTGCATCAATGCTCGAGCAAGCCCTTCCTTCCCTTGGCTTCGCTGCCGAGTGGGGTCTGGTGGTCTTTGTCACCCGAACAGGAAACATTGGAAGCACGGCCGACACCATGTCCCGCACCGTCTAAGCACTTCGAAGAGAAACATCCACAGGGTTCATAAACATGCTAGACTAAGACGCCAGCTAACTGCACATCAGGATCTCAGGGTGCCTCTTCTTGAATGTGCAGACTCAGGCCGCTCGTGGAAGCAGTGGAGCTGAAGGTAGAGCTCGTCGTGATCGTCTGCAGATGGTTCGTTTTGCACATGCTGGAAGATGCCCGGGCAAAGCTGTGGACCTTAAACCCTGTACGAGGCTAATGCATCATCCAGCTGCTTTGGCTTTGGCTCGTCTTGACTTCGATAGCTCACTGTGCTAAGGTTCAACATTTCACATCGCATGGACCTGCTAAAGCTGCAGCGTTCCTACAACTGCACGTCCGGATCTCAGTGCCTCCGTCTTGCCCCATGCCTTGCTTGCCGAAGACGTCGTGGAAGTGGTCCCCGTGCTGGTCTGCATGCAACGGTTGGTGTGCTTCCAACACCCAAACGGCCCTACATCTCAACGAGAACAACTGCATAAGCCTTCAGGGAGCAGATGACACTACACAGCTAATTGCTTTGGCTTTGATATGCTTTGATCCTGTCTTGCCCCACGCCTTGCTTGCCGAAGACGTCGTGGAAGTGGTCCCCGTGCTGGTCTGCATGCAACGGTTGGTGTGCTTCCAACACCCAAACGGCCCTACATCTCAACGAGAACAACTGCATAAGCCTTCAGGGAGCAGATGACACTGCACAGCTAATTGCTTTGGCTTTGATATGCTTTGATCCTGTCTTGCCCCATGCCTTGCTTGCCGAAGACGTCGTGGAAGTGGTCCCCGTGCTGGTCTGCATGCAACGGTTGGTGTGCTTCCAACACCCAAACGGCCCTACATCTCAACGAGAACAACTGCATAAGCCTTCAGGGAGCAGATGACACTACACAGCTAATTGCTTTGGCTTTGATATGCTTTGATCGTCGTTGACACAGCGAACATCACACTTGATGTCGAGCCATGAACCACAGGAGGGACCTGGTGGCTAGGTCAATCTCGTCACGCTGTGGCCTTGCTGTGGCTTGCCGAAGTGGAAGTGGCGGAACTGGCAGTTGCCGTGGTCGTCGTGACCGTGGTCGTCGTGATTGTCGGTGTTGTCGTGGTGGTCTGCGCCGACAATGCGCACTCACGTGCAGCAGCGGGTGCATGAGCACCGATATGTATGTACATATATATATATATGAAGTGAGAAGAAGAAGAAGAAAGTCACACGTTCCATCCCAACTGCAACACAAGACCGTGCAGATTTCTGGCACACTTGCATTTCTCACACAATGCACGGAAAGAGCAACTGCGACGAAAAACACAGCACACTTCCATCCAAGCCCTTACGACCAGACAGCCCTTCGATTTCACAGTGCCATTCAGAGATCCACAAAGCTGCTCGAACATTGTGCGGCCGGACTCTGTCTGATGCCTGCGGCTCACCGTAGCGATAAAGGTCGCTCAGTCCTCAGCATTCAGCTGCTTCTCGGACACCTCGCTCGCCTCTCCGAGCTGAGGCAGCCGCCGCCTTGACCGCCGAAGACATAGATTGCATCAGCTGTGTGGCTGAACGCCATCGAGTGATAAAACCGTGCCGAGGGCACGGATCCCGCGGCACTGAGCATGGTCCACTCATTCGCCTCAGAGTGGGGGGGGGGGGGCCTGTCTTCTTGCATTTTACCGTTTAAAGTTCAAGTAGAACTAACTGCGGTGATGCCCCCGCGCACCGGGCCCCCGAACACCTACCTCAGATCTGCTCAGTTATGCATCCAGCCAACTGCTCAACGCTTTTCGTGGAACACGTGTATTCTTGACCTTCGCGTCCCTGCCGAAGGCAAGAGAAGGCATCGAGTCAAGTCAACTTCCGACCAGAAAATCCGGGGCCCTGGCCACCACGTCGTATCTGTAGAAGTCGTTCAGCATCTCTTGCGGGCCTCCGCAGTCAGCCGCTCCCCGAAACTTTCACACACTGCACCGAGGCCCGACCTCCGTCATGGCCGCCGAAGACATAAAGCGAAATGTCCATTTCTCGGCAAGCCATGCTGTGCCCATAGCGTCGAGAGGGCTGGGAGCCGGTCGGACTCAGCTCCGTCCAATCATTCGCCTCAGTGCGTCCGAGGATTCTCTCTCGGTCCCCCTTTGTTCCCCTTAAGTTCCCCCCCCCTGCAACTCTAAACATCGGCACGGGAGAACGCCACAGGTCACACCATTGGGACCATAGCCACTGACAGCTCTGCTCAGACGGCTGAACAAGAGCTGAGACGCGCAAGCATGCCTGGTTGTGGAGACACGGGGACCATCACGGGACCACACTCCATGAACTGACACCCCAAGAATTTACCGGCAGAGCAACCCGACGGGTTCTTCGAGTTACACAACGACTCGTGACGGAAATATCGCAACAACCCACCGACCCTCTGCAATCGTCGCCAACAGGCTGGGCCCCTGGCTAAGATGTCGTAGCGGTAGAAGTCGCTTAGAGGGACTCAGCAGTCAGCCGCTCCCTGTCGATATCCACTGCCTCTCCGAACCGCCCTCCCTGATGAGGGAACTGAGACCCCGGCTGCTGCTACCATGACCGCCGAAGACGTAGAGAGAACTATTGCATGATGCCATGGCCAGGAACCCCCGCCCGGTCGGCAAAGAGCCGCCCGGGTTCAACGTCGTCCAATGGCTCGCCTCAGAGCAGCGTGTGGAAATGTGCCCTGGCAATGCAATCGCCGCTATGCACCAACCACGAGTTTCCAAAGTTCTACTTGCAATGCTGATAGCTATGCAAGGGCTCAGTATTGAAAACCACCCCAGCTTCTGGCAGCAACATCTGATTCTGATTCCCCAGTTTATCTGGGGGGGGAGGGGTAGGACTTAGGATTGTATTCCTACTGGTATTTGGGGGGTGGGGGGGGCCCCCCCCCCCAAACACAAAAAAGAGAATGCTCCTACTTGTAACTTGCGCTCCTGGCTTTCATGACGGGCCCCCCGGTTTAAGGGACGTGGGCTCTTTCTTGAATCCATATAGAAGCACTGCCCGAAAGGGTCTGGGAGAAACCCAGCCAGGACCTTCGGGAGGCCCAGAATGGGAATAAAGAGGCTTTCATGATGGGGGGCGCCCGCGTTTTATTCCTAATTCACGGTGCCGGGCAAGGCGGTGGGCTCCTTCTGAGAATACCTCGAGGCGGCGCCTTGGGGGTTGTGGCTTTGGTACCCACCAAGGCATCGTTTCGCATGTGCGCATGCTCGGCTCCAAATTGTCAGAACATCTTCGCCACGTTCGGGCCCTTTGGGGTTTAGGGTTTATAGCTTTTCAGGGTAACGCCTGAAAGATGGACAGAGAGACTTCTTCAGCAAACTCAGCCCCCCTCGAAGTCTTCATGCGGATGTCAAAGGATAAGAGCCTGGGCCCCTGGCAGAAGTGTCATACCGGTAAAGGTCGTTCATGAGGGTCCATGAGCCTCAGTGGATCTGTTTTGTTGGTATAGGGCTGGTATAGGCGTAGAAGGTTTTTCGAGAGTTGCAGCTTCCTCTTGAAACCTCAGCAGACAACCGCTTCTCGGACACCCTCCCTCCATACGGCTCCCACGGCTTCGGGGGAAAGATGCTGAGGCCCCTGCTGCTGTAGTATCCGCCGAAGATGTAAATCGAGTCATCGCTGTGGCTCCACACCATCCCATGGCCGCGTCGGAGCGATGGCGTGGAGCCACTTGAAGTCGGCTGAGTCCAGCTGTTGCCCTTGGTGCCGGAGGTTGCTATAGCTCCTACATAGCTCCTACATAGCTCCTTTGCTAGCTCCCCTGCTAGCTTGCAGCAAGATCATCCACATGCCCCTGATGATGGTAGGGTCCGGGAGTACCGAAACCGTGGCCATGGGCACCCAAAACCTTTCCGAGCTTTCGTTCTGCGCTCTGCTTCGATGTTCCTGGCAAAAAATCTGGAATACAAAGCAGAGACGCCTTAGCAATCGGAATGCGCGGCACCCGTGATGCTTCGTTATAGATTGGGCAAAGTTTGCATGTGCGCATGTTCTGCTTCTGCTTGTTAGAACCTCTTCGGCCGGAGTTTCAGAACAGATGTCCGGACTTCTCACAACCCTTCCAAAGATGCGCAACCCCCTAGCTGGATCTAGCAGGCTTCAATCGCGAAGGATCTCACGGGTCTCGGCCTCTGGCCGCGATGTTGTATTGGTGAAGATCGCTTCCGACTGTGACGCCTCAGTGCTAAGCCGCTGCCCTCGATAGACCACCTTGCTTCAACAGATACCCGAGGTTGTCACCCTCTCCGCCGAAGACGTAAAACAAGTCATTGGCGTCGTCACTTGCGATGCCAAAGCTGCTCCGTCCGGTGGGCGGAGAGCCACCGGGGCTCAGCAATGTCCAGTTGTTGGCCTCTGAGCACGTACGCTGTCAGGCAACTACCGCCGTGCGTGTAGCACAATGTTTCCAATGCGTGAAGCGTGTGGAATACGCGCTGATTCTTCACCTACTGACAGCTACAGAAGAGCTCAAAGTTGAGAACCCTCGTCGTCTCAGCCTCTTGGGGCAACATAGACACATGTCGAGTAAGTCCTTTGGGCACTATTCGAGTGCCCAGAAAACACGAAGAAAACACAAGTGTTGCAGCATCTTTGCACTCACACACACCCACACACCCACCCACCCACCCACCCACCCACGCACGCACGCACGCACGCACCTGCGCACCTGTGCGCGCGCGCGAATCTCCTGACGCCGCATGCCCTTCCCCAGCGCATGCCTGCTGAATCACGACTGCCTTTCCTTGAGAAACCTCCCTCTTTGTAGAGCCACCCTTCTGCTCTCTGCTCCGATGTTCCCTTTAGAAATCTGCAGGAAACAGGCGCAGATGCGTGTCAGTCAGAACATCTTTCCCCAACCCGCCCCCCTTCCCCCCCCCCCCCCCCCCCCCCCCCCCCCCCCCCCCCCCCCCCCCCCGGCCCAGCCCCTGTCAACCGAACCGAACTTTTTCGGCGTCCCGAAACACCTTCGGTTACGCCTGCGGAACGCTTTCAGGGACAGAGCCTTCTACAAAACAATGGTCCTACCTATCCTTTTGCAGTCATGGTCAAAAAACGGTGAAGAAACGTGGAGGATGTGAAGAGTCCTGAGCCCCTGGCAGAACTGCTGTATCGGTAAAGGTCGTTCAGGCGACCTCAACAGTGCCAGTGCTTCTTGGACAACCTCGATCCACTTCGGCGAAAGATCACAGCTCAGGCCCCTGCCGACGCCGTCGTTCTCCCGTCCGCCGAAGATGTACACCGAGTCATAGCCCTGGCTCCACACCATCCCGAAGGCGTGCCTGCTGGACGGTGCGGTGCCACTTGGAGTCAGTTGCGTCCAGCTGCTTGCCTTAGAGGGCCCAAGGCTGTCAAGCAGCTGCTGCCAAGCAGCTACCGCATCTGCTTGCCCTCATCTGCAGCAGCCTGCGCAGTGTCCACGGCGAAGAGTGCCAGAAGCCTCGTTGGGTCGGCCCGCAGGTGTTTCATCTTGCTTCCAAACTCGCATACCATGCTGAATAGCAACGACAGGGCTGCAGTGCTCCGAGACAGGCAACCGAGCGGCAATATCTTTTGAATGACACAGCCGCTCATCGTCAACAGCATGCCCGTTGGAGGACGGCTTCTGCCAGGTTTTAGGGTTTTGCTGAAAACGCTGGCATAGGGTCGTGGATGTCGTGGTTTTGTCGGTGCGTAGCTGTCTTGCTTTAGGTCACGCCGCGTTTGATCCTGCATCCTCCAGTTCAACTTTGCGTTCTCGGCTCGATTTTCTTGCGGAACATCACACCTTTTCGGCCTTCGCTAGCATTCACTTTCTCTGCCAAAAAACTGGCTAGCCTTCCCACCTAGCATGTGTTCTCCTTTCGGGCTTGCAGGCTTGTGGTGTTGGATTGTTGAAGCAGCCGCTATAGGGTGTCTCGCAACTTGCATCCGTAGCTTGTCCCATCATCTCTACTTTGGAGCTTGGAGCTATGGCAGCAATGGGAAACTTTGTGACGCCTCGGATTTGCAAGTGTTGAAACAGTGTTGAAACAGTTTCCATCCGTCTTGCGAGATTGGCCGCTTCACCGCAATCTCGCCCTTTGTTGTTTCTGGGCTTGCCTTCCATCACTAATTCTTCACAACGGATGCGAAATTCTGAGGTGTACCCCGTGAATATTGCTGAACAGGCTTGCAGTCTACGAGCTGGAAAACATTCAACCCGGTCGGCGGACTGCAACCTAGCAGCTTCACACCTACTACCCCGCAAGACCCAAGACCCTCAATTCAAAACCTGCACACCAAGTCCCACATGCCCAATAGGGTGAACTCCCATGATCTCCATGGCGTGGCTCGGGCTCAGGGAGAGCTGGGAGAAGTCTTGTTGAAATGGTTCGTGTCCTGTATTCTGGGTCACACCTTGCTAGGTGCCGACAGTGCTGGCATAGCTCTGAAGCCACGACGTCTCAAGCTCAAGGAGTAGAGATAGTCCAAGCCCCCGATACCTGAAGCCTAAGTAAGTTCGACCTCAACAATGCAACAAGTTCATGGCGGTGTCTGTGCCCTAAGCCACTTGAAAGGCAATCTCAGGACAGTGGTGGGAATTCTGGTGACATCTACCGCGGCTCTGATTAGTACCACCTTTGCTTGGGCGGCCTGCTCTATCATCATAGGGTCCCATGATAAGATGATGAGGTAAAGGGTCGAGCCTAGCCCTAGCATCTGCTTTTCATCCTGCCCTTGTTTCTCAAAACCCTGAACATCCCTGAGCCCTAGCCTACACCCCAAGCCCTAACTGCAAAAGTACAGGAAGACTATGCTGTCTTGCTTCCACTGTTTCGTGCGGTCTGCGCATGCTCCCTCAGGCTACTGTTAAGCAGCACGATATGGGGGTTTCCGAAAATAGGGGTACCCTTTTTGGGGGTCCCTTTAAGGGGATTCTTTTCTATTTGGGGTATCAAAGGGGTACCCCTATTTTGGGAAATACCCATATTGCCAAGCAATACACCTGCATGATGAGTAGTGCAACAAACATAGTGTCGCACCTGCTTAGTGTGTTGCCCCCCACAAAAAAACGTCAAAGCTGGGTTTTCGCCCTGTTTATACGTTCCACGGGTTTATGCGATTTTAATAGGGAGGAGTTTAGGTAAGTTTTGAAGGGACAGCGATGGCAATTGATGTTAAGGCTCGCGAACGGAATTGTCTTTCGACACCCGGACGATTTGACTTAATAGAGGACCCCACGTGCACCCCCAAACTGTCACAGTGTCCTGAATAGCCCAGCAAACTTGACTTGAAACAGGGAGCTCCCAGTAACGCAGGTACAACATTAACCAAAAAGAAGCATAGCTCAAACTCGCTTTTGGACTCACATGTATAGAGTATAGAGAAGCACAGAGCTTTGTTGTTGTCGTGCAGGAGAATCACAATGAATGAACCCATGCCATGCGTTTCAGTCGCAGGAAATTGCCCGCGTCACCTGATTCTCCCAAAAGCCCAAACTCCAAACCTTCCAGAGGAAAGATGCAAAGCCTCTCTAAAGAAAGCCCGGGCGCGTTGGGAAGAGAGGCAAAGAAGGCAAGACAGCCCGAGAAAACCGGTGAAAATCGCGGAGCTACTCAAGCTCCTAAAACCCTAAAAACCCTAAACCCTAAACCCTAAACCCGAAACCCTGAACCCGAAACCCGAACCCTAAACCCTAACCCCAAACCCTAAACCCTAAACCCCTCACCCCTAAACCCTAAACCCTAAACCAGCCCGAAAGACTGCTGAGCCCAGAAGGTTCCCCAAAAATCCTCTGCAGTCTCCCCAGCATAGGGGATCTGTGGGCTTGGGGGTTTAGGGTTTCGGGTTTCGGGTTTAGGGTTTAGGGTTTAGGGTTTAGGGTTTAGGGTTTAGGGTCTAGGGTTTAGGGTTGCGGGTTTAGGGTTGCAGGTTGCGGGTTGCGGGTTGCGGGTTGCGGGTTTAGGTTTGGGGTTGGGGTTTAGGGCTTAGAGGGTTCGGGGTTTAGGGGTTGAGGCTTAACTGGGGTCTAGGGTTTAGGTTAAGCGTTCAGGGCTTACAAGGCAAGTGGAAAAATCATAACCCTAAACCAATCAACCTTCTGTAAACCTTTTTCACCCGAAAAGACCAGAGACCCCAAAGCCCACTGCGGAAGGGGAGATCTGTTGAGTTAGTCAGCTTCCCTAAACCCTAAACCCTAAACCCTAAACCCTAAACCCAAAACCCTTTTTGGGGTAAAGCGCGGGAAGGGGAGCTCCAGGAAGCGCCTCCTTTTCCCCTCGACGCGTGCAGTCGCACAGAGGCTGAAAGAGCCTCCGTTCCCCGTGACAGGTCACCCGTTGCGCCTATCCACAGACAGGAGAGGGGGAGGCCCTTCTTCGGACTCCCAAAACACCCTCCAGTCCCAAAGTGAATTTCTGAACAAGAATCATTGGAATTGACTTGTGGGGGGTTGATCTGAGCTGTGGACCCTTTTCTGTTTGCTAGCCCCAACTAGAGCGCATGGCTCTATGGACACTAGATGTGCCCAGAATGTAGATCAACCCCCATGTCGGCACCGAACGTGCGCCTCTGCAGTGACTCGATGCTGGACCCCATAATCTTGAACCCTATAAACCATTCGTCCTAAAAACAACTACGAGTATTACCCTGAACCCTAAACCCTAATCAAACCCTCAAACCCTAAACCCTAAAACCCGAAACCCTGAACCCTGTGTCTACTTTGGTGCCGAGCCTTGTTTGTTCGGAAGCTGTCGGGCTCAGTGTGCCCAAAGGCGCTTGATTGGGCGCTGGCGGTTCTCCTTCCAGCACATCGCCGTCAGGTTTAGGGCTTGGGTTTGCTGGGTTTTGGGGCTTAAGGTCAGGGGGCAAATGTAATGCTTAGGGTTTAGGGCTGGGGCTTCAGGGACTGGTGGAGAGCGCATGCCACTGCCGGTGGCGAGCGGCTGTCATGCTGTCGGTGCTGTGGGCCTCTGGGCTGTTGACCACCTCTGGAATTCAATAAGATGCAGCAAGAAGACGAGACAGCGAGGCAGGAAGGTGCCTGTCCTGATCCTCCAATCGGATGCACTCAACCGCATTCCGGATTTCTGCGTGGATCACCTGGCGGCAGAGCATGGGAGCATGTCAACGCTGCTTCTTTGATCTTCTTTGCATGTTGGCCCTTGTGGCCCAAGGGCTCTTACGACCTTCCAAGGATCAGGGAGGTTTGGGGTTTAAGATCAGGGTTGCAAGGGTTCAGGCCTCGACGTCTCGGGCACCGTCCACATCGCGCCAGTTGACGCTATCACGGAGACGTCGGTCTTTGAACTGCGTACGGACTCGTGCCTCCAGGGTTTTGCACCATGTCAAGCATTGCCACAGCTGCCACAGGAATGCGCCAACACCCTCGGCTCAGCCCGCCTGCATCGCTGCGTTCTCGTAGCGCTCGTCGCCGAAGTTCGACCGTGCCGCGCCCACCTGCGGCACGCTGCACGGCCAAAAACAGCAGAATGCCCACACGCCGAAAAGGTTGACAAGTTCGCTTCCAACGCACCTTCTCATCGATATGCAGGAAGAAGATGCCATCCGGGCACGGCAGCCCGCGATCAGGAGCCTGGCACCACGTGAAGTCCAGTCCTGCACACGAAGCGGGCAGACGACGTATGATGTCGTAGCTCTTCGTAGCTCTTCGGACCTCGCTAAAACTGTGGTCAGGGCGGTCCCGCCTTTGGCCGCGGAGTACGCCACGCCCGAGAAGGCGTAGCGGTCGCACACGATCGTGGTGCCGGCACGTAGGTCCTGCCATGGGAACTCTGAGAAACTCTGTTCACATGGGAGGTCCGAGCTGGCGGCTGCCTCGACAATGGCCTGGGCCATTTCCCAGCGGTTGGCCTGGCGTCCAGAACAGTGCTACGAGCACGTCGCGAACATCACCCGGCAGAGCATGGCATAGCTGAACCGCCGCCGGCACCACGCTGAAGAGGCGGTGCACGGCCTCGTCCGGGAGCTCCAGCTGCCTTGCAGGCAAGGGCTCCCTGTCGCGCACCCCAACCCTTCCCAGCTTCTTGTCGGCCTGCGAAGGTAGAGGTCGATGGCGTTGCCGATGGGCGTCTTGCGGTTCGGGAAGCACATCCACTTCACCGGGCCAGCCTGGGAAAACTGTCCGCTGTGCGAGGCTGTCGAGACTCGCCCTCGCTTGCGGCCTTCTCGAGGTGGGACGCGATCTTCCGGCTCTGGGTGGACTTGCCACTGCGGTCGAGGCCTGACGCTACAGGTCACCGACACATCGCCCAAACACTACGCCCTAAGCCTCTGCGCGAACCTCTCCTCGCATCCACACCCGCCCCCCGGCGCCTTCGAAGACCAGGAACAGGCCGCGCGACCCCCCCGCGCCCCACGTCGGGCGCTCCTGGTCAGGTCACTGCACCAAGTTTGATGTAGGCTCCCCTTCTACACAGCTTGCATAATGGGGCTCTTCATAACCGTGCCCCTAAACCCTAACAACCCGAACATGAAACCGTTCACGAACAACAACACGCTGAGCCTCCAAGGGCATATCCAGGCTACGCAGCGCGGTTTCGATGTTCGCAACCTCCGCCTGCCATAGCGAGTTCGGGCGCGAGGGTTCAGGGTTCAGGGTCTGGGACTTGTCCATGGCTCGCGAAACTGGCGCCAGGAGTGCCGCTTCGAGATTGGCCTGCTTGCTGCTGCGGAGGGCAGCGGCGACCTGCATCAAGGCAGAGGCCGGCTAAAGCAGCTGAAGCTGCGAGTTAACAGTTCAATCATCAATGGGGATGGGCGGGGGGGGGGGGGTGTCTGAGGGCGCAGCAGACTGAACAAGGCTCGCATTGCTGTTGCCCACAGACTTCGACAGACCTCATGAGCACCCAAGATCGGACCCCCAATCCGGGCCAAGCGCAGCACACCAACAGTTCAAGGCCCCAAAGGCGGGAAGCTTTTGAGGCCGCCGACTACTCGCTTGGAACTCTGCCAGGATCTGCTCCTTTTTGCAAGGTGCTTTCGGCCGCTGGGTGGGTTCATGGCATGGCTTCGCAGCTTCGCGGGGCTCAGTGTTGACCTACCTGAGGAGTACCTGCGGCCTTCCTGCCACATGGGACCTTAAAGGCTGTTGGTACCATAAGAACCCAAGACCTACCTTTTGTTCCAGGCTGTTTGTGCTTCCCCCTTTTTGACTTTGAGGCAACCTACACACTCGGTTTTCTTGGGATTCTTAAGGCTGAAGGGCCCTACCCGCAAGCAAAGCAAAGTGCACCTCGCTTGGAAGTGGAGCGGCTTCCGAAACTTCGGCTTCGGGCCTGCCAGGCTGAGGGGCAATCGGGTTTTGGGGGTTCAGGCTTGCTAGGGTTTAGGGTTTGGGGTTCAGGGCTTCTGGGGGCTTCACGGCTCAACAGACTTTTTGGTTTTTGGGGTTTGAGCCGGAGAAAAAGCAAAAGTGGACCTCTTCGGGATCTCCTCGCCAAGGACGCCGGCCTCTCCAGGACTCGACCCCTAGGAAGGATGGGGAGGGCATACATTCGTTCACTTGCTATTTTCAATATTTTGGGGATGAAGTAGTAGAAGTAGAAGCAGAAGTAGTAGCAGTAGCAAAAGAAGCAGCCAAAGCAGCTGCGCCTCAGCCCCCTCCACAAAGCGGTGGACTGTGGCCCGCTGCTCTTCGAGAGCAGTGACCTGGCTCGTTCTGAAAAGGGTTCGGTTCAGGATTTGGGGTTTGGGGTTTAGGGTTTAGGGTTTGGGGTTTAGGGTTTAAGGTTTAGGGGTTAGGGTTTAGGGTTTGCAAGTTTCGGGTTCATTAAGGTGTAAGGTCTTTAGAGTTGAAGGTTTAGGGTTTAGGCTCCTCAAACAATAAAGCCTACAGCTGTACCTGAAGACCACAAACCCTAAACCCCCTATCAGCCCCAGAACCCTAATTAAACCCGAAACACCCACACACACACAAAAAAAAAAAAAAAAAAACTGCAAAAGACCCCGCAACTCCGGAAGCCGCAAAGACGTGCTCCGGCGTACGGCGCCGGAGCGCAAGGAGCGGACGCCGCTGAGGGCACGTCCTGGGCTCCGGTACAGGATTTTTAGGAGCTTGAGGAATTTGAGAAGTTTGAGGTTTAGGGTTTAGGGTTAGGGTTTAGGGTTTAGGGTTTCGGTTTCGGACTTAAGGCTTAGGGCTTAGGGCTTAGGGCTTAGGGCTTAGGGCTTAGGGCTTAGGGCTTAGGGCTTAGGGCTTAGGGCTTAGGGCTTAGGTGGGCTTAGGGTTGAGAGGGCCTTAGTAAGGTTCAGGAAGGATTTGAAGGGATGAAGGCTTTAAGGGGTTCAGGGTTTAAGGGGGTTGTGAAGAATTTAAGTGGGACGAGCAGGGTTGAAACTGCGACGAGATAGCCCTGCAATATCACTTGAGAGGGTTTTGTGTGTAGAACATCCCAAGTTGTCCACACTCCTAAGCTGTTACCCTCAGACATTACAACCTTGAAGCCAAACCTCTCAAACACCTGCAAATCCTTCAACCCTAAACCCTAAACCCCAAACCCTAAACCCCAAACCCTAAACCCCAAACCCCAAACCCTAAACCTCAAACCCCAAACCCCAAAAGCCACTTCAGAGCACTCCCGCGGCGCCTTGGAGGCTCTGGATCTCCTTGGCATTGGCCTCGAGATGCCGCTCCGCCTCCTGGGATTAGGGTTTAGGGGTTTGGGGTTTAGGGTTTGGGGTTTAGGGTTTAGGGTTTAGGGTTTGGGGTTTGGGGTTGAGGGCTGGGGGATCGGGAATTAGGGTTTAGGGTTCTTTGGCAGGCTTTGGAAAATTCTGGTGGCGTGTTTGGAAGGCTTTAGGGGGTAGGAATGGTGGCCTGAGGTTCCGGAGGGTCTCGGTGAAGCTTCAACATCGTGAGCAAAATGCGCAACTCCAGGGTTAATTCTCTAACAAGTTTGGGCCCCCTCTCCTTGTTATATTTGGGGTCTGATGGTTATCAGGGGATCCTTCCATTTGGGGGTCTATATTCGGGGTACCTTATAGTCATGAACCCCCCTTGCTAAAGCCCCTCACAGCGGCCTCCTCGATGCTGGCGGACGCATCGTTGGCGGTCTGAATCATCTTGTCTTCGTCCTTTTTTTGGTTCTTGCGTTTTCTTTGTTGGTTTTGTTTTTTTTTTTGGGGGGGGCTGATTGGAACGCATTCCTTTGAAGCCTTTTGCAGCCATGAGCTTTTGAAGGAAGGGGAAGTTGGGGGAGGCCGGCGGCCCGACCCTGTTGCACATGGAGCCCGAAGCCCAAAAGAGGCCCCAGGCATGGCCTCCACACACTTTGTCTGCACTTGCGTGATGGAGTCCCAGCGCTTCTGCCTAGGCTCGGGTCAGCCATCACCCCCTATCAGGACACCCAAAGCTTTCGAAGCTCTCTGGACATCTTACTGGGTTGCACCCGGGGTTGCTCCGATTCGAGATGGAAGATGATGGTTGAGGGGGGGGCGGGTGTAATTGGGGCTCAGGGATGTAGGAATTGGGGGCAACGAGGAACCTCCGACACGGTGTCCCCGCTAACCCTAAGCCCTACAGCAACATGAATCCTAAGCTGGAAAATCCTCGATGTTCCCCCGAGCAATACTCGGCTTCCCACGCTGCTGCCAGTGCAGCGTCAGCTTGCCTCGGCTACTCTAAACATCTACCGTTGAATGATTTATTGTCGAATACCTCTCGCTGCTTGATTCTAATCGAAAGTTTTTTTTGTTCATTTTGCATTTTTTGTCAGGTCCGCAAGAGCGTTGGGCTTGCAGAACTCGGGTTCGCGATCGGCACAGCGGACGACTTGGCAAACATGATGTTTGCAGCATGACTCGTGAGTTTGCCCGTGAGCATCGGCCTGCTCGCTTTGCAGAGTCCAATGTTGGCTTTCTGGCTGTCATGTTTTTCGTCCGCCTACAACCCGCTAAATGGCACTTCTCCACAGCTTGACCCAGATACTGCACCTTCTCTTCCAAAGGCTCCCAAACGTCTGCCAAGTGGCTGCTGGTGTGACTCCAGTGCTCGGCCACCCGAGCACGTCTCTGCCTGGGGCGTGGGCGTGGCTCTTGGGAGAAGCACGTGTGAGCAGCTGACTTCGAAGGTGAGCAGCATGGCTCGTACACATCATGAGTAGCTCGGCCCCGGGCCTTCACGGCCTCCGCGTTCCTGGTCGCCTTGTCGCGGAGCTTCTCAAGGATCTCGGTGTGGGCGGATTGGAGGCTGGTCACTGCCTCGGCAGCTCCTTGCAGGGAGGAGTCCGACAAGCTCGACAGCTCCGCGACGGCCTCGGAGGCCTTGGCCAGCGCGGCGGAGGTTCGCTTCGCGGAGTCGGACAAAGACCGGCGCTGGGAGGCCAAAGTTTCCAGGAGCTCCCTCGCGCGGTCGGCGAAGCTCTGCTGCGCCTCCTTCGCCTCCTGGTTCAGCGTGCCCGCACCCTCCGCGGCAGCCTCAGCCGCCTGCCGCAGTGAGGCCTCGAGGGCCCCAAGGGTTGTTTGGGCGTCTTGGGCACCGTGGACCAGGCTCTCCTTGGCGTTTGCTGACAGCTCTTGCAAAGCTTCGTGGGTAGCATTGCGGTGGGGCCCTTGCAGCTGCTCACCCAAGCCCACTAAACAGCATCGCTGCCGGTGGTGGAGCTCCTTCAGCTCCAGCATCGCTGCCTTTTGCGAAGAGCCCGTCTCCAGGATCACAGCCTCTGTCTCCCCAGCAGAGGCTGGGCCCTCCTGGCCGGACGACTCACGGGCCGCACGGGCCGTCACCTCTGCCCGCGGGCTGGGCAACAGCTCCAAGAGCCGCTTCGGCCCGCTTTCCTGCAGAAGCCGGCACATCTCGCGAGCGCGCGCCTGTGAGGCACGGTGCTGCTCTTTGGCGACGGCGATTCGCTGCTCCAAATCCAAGCTGTGCTGCTCACTGACCGTCAAGGCGGACTGCATCCTCAAGGCCACCTGCCAGCAGGACGAGCTACAAGAAGTTGATATTCATACAGAGCTGCCAAACTCACCTACACCCTCTGGCCCTGGCGCTCTGGGAGTGCTGCAGCACTCTCTTCGCTGCTTTGGTTTGCTACGAGCACCCTACCCTTGAAAACAAGCACACGAGCACAGACACAAAACCTGCACCGCAAGCTTTGCACAGCCTGCTTTACTCACTACATCCGAAGGTTCTATTGGTAGTCTCCAGCCTCGTGCTGGTCCGACGCACACGATGCGAAGCGTTCCTTGACAAAGGTCTGCTCCTGCACGCATTTCCATGATATTATGCTCGGCCTTCCAAACCCAAACTCAGCTCCACCTACCCTAAACCCCAAACCCTAAACCCCAACCCCTAAACCCTAAACCTAAATCCTAAACCCGAAATCCTGAACCCTACCTAAACCCTAGACCCTAAACCCGATATAAACCCTAAACAAACCCTGAACCCTAAACCCTAAACCCTAAACCCTAACCCTAAACCCTAAACCATACCCCACCCCCCGCCCCCTCTTAAAGAACAAAAAAAGACCCAGGGGCTCGGTCCTTGGCTTTGAGTCTTGCCTTTCGCAGGTCCTCTGCCAGAGCCTCATGCTTTTTCGAATTTCTTCACCCTTCTAAGGTGCAGTTTAGGGTTTAGGGTTTAGGCGGGGCATAGAAATGTGGCTGCTCCACTTCGAGCGCTGCTAGCCAAGCTCCTCACATCAGTTTAGATTCCGGTTCTGGGTGCGTTACAAGGCTTTGTGAATGGCACACGAGGGCTTCTAGAGTGCGACAGATGGCTGGCATGTCTGAAAGACCTTCAAACTCGTTGTCCGTCGTTGCCCTCTGCACGCATGGAGAGGGCCTCCATGCGGGCCTCAGCGCGTGCAGCGCGCTCTGCCTCCTCCTGGCAGCTTTTCGGAAAACTAGATGGGGGTTTTGGGAGAGAAAGAGACAGAGGGGGGCAGCTTTGACTTTCACGCTTAGTGCTGTCAGGGCCAGAAATAGACAGACAGACGGACAGACAGAGGCAGACAGACAGAGAAAGGCAGAAGGAGCTGGCGAACGCAGAGTGTGGGGAGGCACTTAAGCTAAACCCTTGAAAGAGTCGCTCGGCAGCTCTCTTGTCCGTTTTAATCGGGCTTCTTCCGTAACTCCTGCCACTGCACCAAGTTTGTGGAGGCGTCTGGGAGTGGAGTCCCTTGTCGCACTGAACACTCAACGCGCCAGCTGAAAACCCAAAACCCCAAATCCCCTTCGAACCCTAAACTCCAACACCCAAGGGTTTAGGGTTTAGGGTTTAGGGTTTAGGGTTTAGGGTTTAGGGTTTAGGGTTTAGGGTTTAGGGTTTGGGGATTATTTAGGGTTTAGGGTTTCGGAGCCACTCCACCCCGCTCCTGAGCCTCCTGGTACTTCCGACCAAGAGCCACCTCCAAAGGAGGGGAAGCTGAAAACTACGGATCTTGGCGGCTCGGGATGTCGGGAGAAAGCCTTCGTTTCGAGTGGGCACTGAATTCTGCACCGACAAGCCCGGGAGCGCCTATGTATTTCCAAGACCCCCCTTCCCAAACCAAGAATACTCGCAATAATGATAATGATACGGGGAATGATGATGATGATGATGATGATGATGATGATGATGGTGGTGATGATGATGATGGTGATGACGATCGCAAATAGACCCCTCCATAAATCCAGCCCATTCAGGGAACAAAGTCGGAAACAGCCCAGATAAAGCCCGAAAACAGCCAGAGCAACTCAGGAAGCAGGATTTCCACAGATTCAAGGCTCTAAGGTTTGAACTCCTTTCAGGGCTTGCTTTAAGAAGCCGAAACCCGAGAGCCATGATTTCTTGGGCACCTGCACGGTGTGACAATGAGATGCAGCTTGTGGGGTTGGTTTAGGGCTTAGGGTTTAGGGTTTAGGGTTTAGGGCTTAGGGTTTAGGGTTTAGGGTTTAGGGTTTGTTGCTTCCTGAATCCGTTTGCCTGGTTGATGCCTCTATTTCCTGAATGTACCCACTCTGGCCCTCCAAGCCGCGGCCACCCTAAACCGCAAACCCTAAACCCTAAACCCGAAGCCCCAAGCCCTTAACCCTAAAACCCTAACCCCTAACCCCTAAACCCTAAACCCTGAACCCGAACCCTGAACCCTAAACCCTTCCTACCTTTGTGGGAGGAAGCCAGAATCCTGTTCTTCAGGGCATGAGACTCAGGGTTACCAAACGTCCGCACCTGAGCCTCTTCTAGCTCCTGGGACAAGTAGGTGACCTGCAGCGATGGTCGGGGAGGGTTTAGGGTTTAAGGTTTAGGGCTCAGGGTTTAGGGTCTAGGGTTCCGGGTCTAGGGCTTGGGTGTTGGAATTGGGCTCCAACCTCTCGTCACAAAGAACTCTCGTGTCCGACACCAAATGCGGCCAGCTTCGACAGGAAGCCCCACTGAAGCGAAGCACCTAAACTTCAGAAATCCTGAACCCCCGGAAGGCCTATAAACCTGTCTGTGAACTCCGAAAGCACCCGCACCCCCACACCCCCCCTTGAACCCTAAGCCCTGAACCACTAAACACTTAAACCCTTGAAACCTGGAAACCCTTGAAACCCTGAACCCTCAAGCCCTCAAACCCTAAACCCTTACCCCCTTGAGCCCCTTTGAACCCTTGCGCCCTTAAACACCAAACCCACGTAAGCCTTAAACCTCTTTCCTGCCTTCATCTCCAGCTCTGCCCAGTCGGAGGCCCCGAGCCCGGAACTCGAGCCTTGGGAGGTTCAGGGTTCAGGGTAAAGGGTTTAGGGTTTAGGGTTTAGGGTTTAGGGTTTAGGGTTTAGGGTTTAGGGTTCAGGGTTTAGGGTTTAGGGTTGGTTTAGGGTTGCCTTGCAGGTCTGAGGGTTTTAGAGCTTAGGGTGGTTAGGGGGATCAGGAATTCCCTGCAGCTTTAGTGGGTCTTGAGTGCCCCACACCAAGACCCGACAACACGAAGTCACCAGACTCTGCATGAACCCTGAAGCCCAGACCCTAAACTCTATAAAGTCTACAAAACTTCCTCCGCATGACACCCTATAAGACCCCATCAGGCCCGGTAAGGCCAAATCAAGCCCTTTCAAACCCCAAAGCTGTCCAGGCTGTGCACTGACGTCCGCCGCTCGCGCAGCCGAGGCAACCGTGGCCGTGCGCAGCAGGGACGAGGCAACCGGCCTGGCTTTTCAGGGTTTAGGGTTTAGGGCTTGGAGCTCAAAGTGAACGTGGAGACACTTGAAAACGCCCCTAAACCCTTCGAAGCCCCCAAACCAAAACCCCCGAAAACCCCCAAACCCCCCCTGTGGGGCTGTGGCCGGTTCTTGATGCCAGCAGCTTGTTCCGCGTAGCTCAGGGCGGAGATCGTCTCCTCCACCGCCGCAAGGGCCTCCAAAAGGTGCCAAGGAAGAGTTCAGGGTGGAAGCTTGTGAGGTAAGGGTTGAAGGGTGTAGGGTGTAGGGTGTAGGGTGTAGGGTGTAGGGTGTAGGGTGTAGGGTGTAGGGTGTAGGGTGTAAGGTTTAGGGTTAGGGTTTCGGGTTTAGGGTTTAGGGTTTAGGGGCTGGCAGGCTCCGTTCTGGGCACCTGTCGCACTGAGGCCTTGAAGCCAGCCGCGTGGGAACCCTAAACCCTGAACTCCCAACAACCCTAAACCCTAAACGCCCGACAGTCCGAACCCCAAACTCCCAACCTTTAAACGAAAAACCCGAAGCGCCCAAGAATGCGAAACCTAAAGCACCCAACAATCCTAAACCCTATAAACCCTATAACCTCTTGTCACGATCCGATCTGCTCTGAGTGTCCAAACTGGGGAGATGGTTGCGATGATGACGGTCTTGCAGCGCCCGCCCAGAGCATCCTGCAGGAGCCGGGTCCTTGGAGATTGAAATGCGGGGAGGGGGGGGGGGGGGCTCGGGGCTCAGGGATTTTTCGGGTTTAGGGTTTAAGTTTTAGGGTTTAGGGCTTAGGGTTTAGGGTTTAGGGTTTAGGATTTAGGCTTTAGGGTTTAGGGTTCAAGGTTTAGGCTTTAGGGTTTTATGGTTCTGAGGGTTTAGGGTTTGTTGGGTTTGGGGATGTTTAGGGTTTGCTTTTTGTCAGAAGGTTGGGGGCCGCTGGCTGGGAAAGAGTCTTGGGCAAGGTCTTGGGGTTCAAGAGGCGGTACATCCCCAACCTCGAAAACTGCAGCACCTAGCAATGCGGCTTCAGAGCTTGAGACTTTTCGAAACCGCTGCTTCTCGGCTGCTTCTCGCGCTCGATGCGCTCACGAGCTGAATGCGCCAGAGATCACCTCGGAGAGCTGGCAGTCGGTGTCGGGAGCAGGGAGGGATCTGCAGGTCGAGAGCTGCAAGAGGAAGGGGCCTAGCCGGAACGTGCGAGCGCCAGCCAGTCTGCGTTGAGATCCGCATCTTCGGACAGCTTGTCGTAGGCCTCCGCGAGCTTCCCCCCAAGCCGCTGTCCACCCGGGAGGCTCTTGAACTGCAGGAGGTAATCCTGCCCCCCCCGGCCCGTTTATGTCATTATGTGCTCAACATCCAAAAAACTTCCGAATCCCTCCCCAGTCCCTGAAGCAAGCTGTCCTTTGTGGCCGGATGCTTCGGAAACTCCATGACCTGCTCTACACCCCCCCCCCAATGCAAAATCTCCCCCCGCCAGCACCCACCTCTACACTGACTTCCAAGATCTCCAAACCAGAGGCCCGGTCAAAGTCCCCCCACCCTAAACCCTAAACCCTAAACCCTAAACCCTAAACCCTAAACCCTAAACCCTAAACCCTAAACCCTAAACCCTAAACCCTAAACCCTCACCTCTTCGGCTGGCCCAAACTCACAGATGCTACCCTCGTGCAAGAAGGCAAAGTCGTCCGCCACGATGTGCAGCCTGCCGAACTCCAGGGCCATCACTGGGAGGAAGCTTCTACACAAAACCCTAAAACCCTAAAACCCTACAACCCCTTAAACCCCTTAAACCCCTAAAACCCCTAAAACCCTAAAACCCTAAAACCCCTAACCCCTAAAAACCCCCAGACCCCCAAACCCTGAACTCTCCAACCCTCAACCCCTGTTTCATTGCTCACATCCCAATATGTGGACACCGCTCTCTGACCCCGCCAGACTCAGGAAAGGAGCTGGTGCAGCTCCGTGGAGATGTAAAGCACCGAGATGTTCAGCTCCTCCGCGCCAAAACTTAGGGGCGTAGGGTTTAGGATTTAGGGCTTAGGGTTTAGGGTTTAGGGCTTGGTGTTTAGGGTTTAGGGTTTAGGGTTTAGGGTTTAGGGTTTAGGGTTTAGGGTTTAGGGTTTAGGGTTTAGGGTTTAGGGTTTAGGGTTTAGGGTTTAGGGTTTAGGGTTTAGGGTTTAGGGTGTGTAGCGTTTACGGATACATTGCAGGGCTTTAGGGTTTAAGGGTTTAGGGTGTGTAGTTTTTAGGGATATATATTGCAAGGGTTGAACGAGAAAAACCCTATGCCCCTAAACCAAATTGCAGAAACTGGCATTAAAGAACACCATCCGGCCATGCAAGGTTCGGTGCTTTTAGGGCTTAGGGCTTCATGAAAGTGAGGACCATTTGTCAAGGTCACACGGCCAAGCTTGCCTCCTGATCTTTATGACGTATTCGGGGTTTCGGGTTTCGGGTTTCGGGGGGGCCTTCTGCAGCCGCTTCAGCATCCGAAGCACGCGAGGTTGGCGGAGGTAATCCAGGCCCCCCAGAAGCTCATCGCAGATCAACACCACAGAGCCTGAGCTCTGTCACAAGAAGATGAAACGGCATAGCAAGAATCGCAACATGAATAGGTGGAACAACAAAGTGCGGAGTGATGTCTTGGGCCTGGTTGCTTGGGCAGGCCAGACACCGAGCGAAGTACCGCAGAACGTAGATCAGGTGCTTTTGGCCACCCGACAGCTCCCCGTACCGGAGCCCATCTCGGATGTAGTCCTTGCGGCCAGCCTAAACAAGCCCGCGCTGGCCTGAAATCCTCTTCAATTCCTGGAAATCCTACACCCTTTTGAGCTGACACCTACGTTCCTACCCTAAGCGCCGCCTGTGTTTTGTGGGGTTTCTGAGAGAAGCTGTCTCCACCGTCCTCCGGGCACCCGACGGCTGCGCCGGTCTCCTGGTTGTACATCTGAAACCTCACAAGGGTAGCGCAAGGTGTGAGGGTTTCCCGGTTTCCCTAGGCCCTAAACCCTAGGCCCTAAACCCTAAACCGTACCTTAACCCTGGGGGGTTTAGGGATTCAGGGGTTTTCAGGGCCTATCCTAGTAGCGGGCCCAACCCACGATGCACAGGCAGACAAACAATGCCGCGTGACCCAGCTGCTTTCAGCAGCGCAACGACGCAATCTGCACGCCTCAAAGGCGCTGCTCTTGGGCAAAAACCTTCATAGACTAGTCTCCCGAACTTGAACAGGGTAAAATGGTGAGTGCAGCTTCGGCTGCTTTTGGCAAAGTCCTTGCCTCGCAGCAGGCAGTGTCTCCCCGATGACAGCCTCGATGGACTTGCTCGGGGCGAGAGTTTCCTGCGGGGTTCTAGGTTGAGGCTTGATGATTTTTGATACTTGAAGATATCTTACAACCGGACCCTTTAGGGTAGGGCCGGGTATGGGGTGCAGATGAACCCGTAGCAGGCGGGTGCGGCTCTCCTTATCCGAGCTCTCGCTGGAAAGGTAGAGAACCAGGTTTCGGGGCTTCTGCGGGCGCAGCAGGTAGGCGCAGGCCCCGGCCATGCCAAGCGCGAGCAGGATCAGTGCGGCACCCACCCAGGAATTCCAGTTTTCAGTGAGCTTCAGTGGTCCCAGAGCCACGGCCACGGCGAGGCCCAGCACGGCAAGCACTGCAAAGAGCCCCGCGTTGCCGTTTGGGGCCGTGTGCGTGTCAGTGTGACACGTGTGGCTCAGGTCACCAGACTGCAGCCGGAGCTGGTTGGAGAGCAGCCGTGCCAGGGTGCTCTTGCCCGAGGCGTTCATGCCCACAAGGCCTGTGCACCAAGACCCCCGCAGCTCCAAGGACACCGAGTTCAGGACGGGCTCACCCCGATTGTACGCGAAGCCGATGTTCTCACAGGACAGGAGCACGGGGCGCTCGCCCCCGCGCGTGGGCCGGCACACGGCTTCTGGGGTAGTGAGGCCGTCGCCGTCGTAGAGCGGCTTGGAGAATACGTTCTTAAAGGTCTCCCGCTGTCTTCGGTTCAGGTCTTTCTGCTCGGCTCGCAGCCTGGACTGCAGCTGCTGGAGCTGCGCTTTGGCCTCCCCGTTCTCGGGGTCGAGGTCCAGAGCCGCCTCGAAGTCGCGCCGCGCGCGCTCCGCCAGCTCCGCGTTGCTTTGGTGATCCGACAGCTTGGCCTGGGCCAGGCCCCGGCGGTACAGCGCCTTGACCCGGGCCTCGCTCCTCTCGGGCGCCGCGGCCGCCAGGGCGCCGGTGGCGTGGTCCACGGCGCTGGCCAGGTTGCCCCGGCGCAGGTGCGCCAAGGAGGCGTTGAGGTGCAGCGCAGCCCGCAGCTGCTGGATGTCCTCGGCTGGCGCCGCGGCCGACAGCAAAGCCACCAGGCCCTTGTCATATCGATCGGTCGCATCCGCATAGTCGCCCTTACTCATGAGCTCGTTGCCCCGGGCGCGGTGCAGCTCCGCTTGAGCGAAGGCATCAGCGCTCCCTTCTTCCATGCCTCTTCCTACGACTCTACGCAAGGCCGGCGAGGTGTCCTTGCTACAACCAGGTTCCAGCTCGAGCAACGCAACAGGATTGAACACCTAAACCCTCACCCCCTGACCTCGTGAACCCCGAAGCCCTGAAAACGCCTGAGAACCCCTGAGCCCTGAAGCCGAACCCCAACCAAACTCCCAACGCGTGGTGTCATGGGGCGCCGGCAGCTTGGAGTCACGGTACGGCACCCGACCGGAGCCCTGAAGGCCGGCACCACTGGGGACAAAGCAAAAAGAGGGTTTTCGGAGCTCAAATTTCAAGGGCTCAAGGGTTCAAGGGCTCAAGAGGTGAAGGGCTCAAGGGCTCAAGGGCTCTCAAGGGCTTGAGGGCTCAACGGCCCAAAAGGGGGGTTCAAGAGTTCAAGGGTTTGAGGCTGGCTTCGGGTTTCAACTGAAGTTGCTGCACCGAGGAAGCCAAAGGATCTGGGTTTCAGGGCAGCTCAGGGCAGCTCAGGGCAGCTCAGGGCAACCCCAAACACCGGAAGCCCCGGTCTTCCAACTTACAAGCGGCCCACACACCGATGTCTCCAACAGAACTCCAAACCCGAAACCCTAAACGCTCAAAAAGGAAGGGGGTGGGACCTCGCGAAGAGCTGTGATCACGCGGCCCAGTGTCAGGAGGCTCTGGTTGATCGAGCGGCGCCTTCAGCGAAGGCTCGGCGAGTTCAGGGTTTCAGGGCTTGGGGCTTCTTCGGGTTGTGGGGTTTAGGTTTTGGGGGTGAAGGTTTGGGTTTAGCATAACCCTTAAGCGAAGAAGCATGGGGGAATTCGGCGCTGATGATAAGGCCGCCACTCGCGTTCCTCCTCCTGGCCTGCGAGAAGGCGAGCAGCCTGGGATGCGTCCTTGCAATGTGGACCGCCACCTTCCCAAAAACACGGTAGGGAACCTGCTAGACCAGATAAACACCTAAACTCGATCACCCTGCCTGAGCTCAAGCCCTTAGGGCTGCCAGGTTCAGGATAGGATCAGATGCCCAAGGAGAAGATCCCCCCCCCTCCGCACCAAATTGAGTAGCTGCTGCAGATAACTCAATGAAGGTTCAACCTGAGGGATGAACAACAACCACGCTCATGGGATGTGGTTTCCTTCTCATGGCAACTCAACCTAAGACTCAACCTACGTTCCTTCACAGCAGCCGAGGCCCCCCAGCACTCAACTTCCTAAACACCCTGCACCCCTCTACGGTCCTCGGGATAGATGAAGCCACCCTTCTTCGCGCACTCGCTGCCGGCCAAGTCCACAAGGTGCAGCTTGCCCTCAGGACTTGTGTTCAGGGTTTAGGGGTTGGGGAATTTTGGGGGGCTGAGAGACAGGCTCAAACCCCCCCTTCAACCCACAATTTGAAAGCCCCAAAGAATCTGACTCCGTGTGAGATGAGCCACCCCAAAATCTGAGAATTCCGGTGACGGTTTTTTCCTTCCAACCACCGACCGATCAGGAGCCTGGTTCTCCAACTCCCCTCCAGCCACGCTCCTCTGACAGCGAACCTGCAACGGCTTAGCGCTTGGGAAGGTTTGGGCTTGGGTCACTCTAAACCCCCCACACATCTGAGCCTTCATCGTGAAGATGCTGTGGGACCGGCTGCTTCGCGCGTTGACGCGGGTCTCCGCGACGCGCCGCTTCTCCTCGAAGAGGCCATGATGCTTCTTCGGGATGCTTCGGGCTGCTTAGAGAGCTTAGGGTGAGGCCACGACCCTTCTTTTTAGGGGTGTTGAGGTCAAGGAGCTTGGGGTATGCAGACTTAAGGTCGACCGGTGAACCGTGAAGCCTACAGCATCCACGTGTGCGCTGCTTTGTGGATAACCTTCAACCCTCAAGCTTTAGGCTGAGTAGGCAAGAGACCCCCATAAACGGCTTTGGAGGTTTTGGGCCTTGGCCTGACCCCCCCCCCCCCCCCGCCCGCATGCCTGTGCACGCCGAACCACTTCGAGGATGTCGTCCATGTTTTGGACTTCCACCTTCATGCTGCATGCCGCGACTTTGTTTCAGAGGTCTTGTCGCAAAAGTTGCAGTTTGGGGTTTGGGGATCAAGACGTGGGCACAGCCCAAAACCCCGGGGTGATCCTATGTCCTATGTGGAGTACGTAGACACACCAGACAAAAAACCTTCAGTGCACCAGAAGCAGCTTTTTGACAGAGGTGCTCAGCCCCCAGCAAGGAAGCTCAGAAAGTCCTGGACGTCATGCTCCCTGAACATGATGCCCATCTTCATGAGGTAAGCCACTTCGGCAGTCTGGGATGCACCCAACCCGCTGTCCCTTCGAGCTTTCTTCTGGGCAGCTGCGTCGCAGAGCTGATCCCAAGACAGCTTCCCTTGCCCCCTCCGACCTTGGAAATAGAACACATGCAGCTCTTGCTTCAGGTCCACTGCTTGGTCGACATTCCGTTTCCACACCTCGAACCACTGGCAACCCCAAGGAGCTCGTCCATCGTTCAGCTCACAGAGCTCCCGTGCGCGTCGCAGGGCGTCTGCAAGCTCTTTCTGCCATTCGAAGTCGCTCTGCTCGTTCTTGATCAACACCAGCTGGCCCATTGCATGGGCATCTGCCTTCTCGTGTGCCAACATCATCCGGGTTTCGGAACTATCACTCTGGCTTGGCTCCACCTCCACCACACGGAGGTATGCAGATGCCCGAACGTGACCATAGATGCTATGGCACCAGCACTTGCCAGGTGTATCTGGATTGATAGAGTGCTGTCCCAAACCAGAATCCACATCTGTCAAGAACACGCATGCCAACGAGCACGCATCGTCTTCGCTCACAGAGTCAGCCCTCACATGCTTCACGGCCTTGTCCCACAGAGCATTGTACACTCCGGGGAAGGACACAATGCACTTTGCAGCTTGTTCGTTAATGTGCCCAGGAAAAGCGATGCGCTTGGAGCATTCGAAGCCATATCCAGACAGGTCCGCGAGCTTGCGGAAGGCCTCCATCGGGTTCCGCGGGCCCATCATCCCACTCAAGGCCAGTGCGGTGAAGATCTGCACCACGACGTCCAGAGTCATCCACGTCATGCGCCCCTCTTTGCCCGCCACGAAGAAGAGGGTACCACAAAAGCCAAGCACGGGACCAAGAATGACGAGAAGGGCATTGAGGTACAAGAAACACGCCGTGGACCTCAGGGCCTCATCACCGTGCGCCGCCACTATCGCCCCGGTTGCAGCATGGCAGAGTGCCCCACACTGGCTGAACAAAGTGGTCCAGCAGCAAAAGAAGCTGAAGAGCAGCAGAGAGAAGGCCGGGTAGCCAATGTCAGCGGCCCCAATCGTTCTTGTCCCATTGCCGAAATCTCCGAAGGGTATCTTAAAAGAGATCATCACCAGAGCCATGAGCAAGGAGCCACAACCAGCCGCAGCCAGCATGTGACAAAACATGGCCATCAACCGCCACCCCAAAGCTTGCAACTTGAGATTGGTCATATGTACCTGCAGTACATTGCAAATGATCTCCCAAGGCAGAATTGAGAACACGGGCCACGACTTTCGAAAGCCTGTCATACTTTCATCATAGAAAAACACCGCAAGCAAAAGGACTGTACGGCGGCTCCAGATATGCAACTGTGACTTCGTAGAAAAGCGGTCTTCCCGGTAAAGGAACACCGCCACGCCCAGTCCGGTCACGATGGGCCTCAGAACCGCGCTGAATGTCCTCCTTCGACTCGACAAGCCCAGGGCCCCAAGATTCGCCGCGATGCGCCCCAGGGTGTAGAGGACCAGGGCCAAGGCCTTCAGCATCTTCAACTCCGCAATCTGCCGCGCATCCGTCTGAAGCTCCTTGTCCAGCTCCTCGAGCTCCACGGCCAGCGTGGACCTCCGGCGCTGGGAGCGCCGCCCGGCCGCAGCCGCTGAGCCCCTGCTGGCTGCCTGGCTGCCACCAAACCAGAGGGGGAGCTCCAGGGCCCCCTGCGGCTCCCCGGCCATGGCCCAAGGGGGGCTTGACTTGAAGCGTTGTGAGCTGAATTATGGGTGCAAGACATGAAGCTCCGTAGGCCCCAAAAAACCAAGAGGCCTGTCCGTTGCAGGAGTTTGAAGAGGAGCTGTGCTCAAGAGCTTCTTTCAGGAATGGCTCGTGGTTGAGGGTCGCTAAACCCTAAACCCTAAACCCTAAACCCTAAACCTTAGAACGTGTTGAAATTTGGTTTAGAGCTTTGGGTTGGGGATTCAGGGCTTTTTTGGGGGACTCAGGGTTCAAGGTTCTTGCAATCATGGAAACGCTACACCCATCTCAACACCGAGAGAATAGGCTGCAGGATGATAGAACAACGCTTGGGGCTTGGGGGTTGAGAGCTTCGGGGTTTAGGGTTTCGGGTTTAGGGTTTAGGGTTTAGGGTTTAGGGGTTTATTTAGGGCTTTAGGGCCTCGGTATTTAAGGCTTAGGGGTTTAGGGGTTTAAAGTCTAGAGGTTTACGGGTTTAGGGGAGCTTATAACTTCAACCCCCCCTCACAGGACTCTGATCACAATGCACACGCTCCCGAAGGTTGAGGGCCTTACAGGAATCTGATTGTAGAGGGATCTCCTCATTTAGGATCCCTTACCGGGATTCGGGGCTTAGGGTTTAGGGTTTAGGGATTGGGGTTTAGGGTTTAGGGTTTAGGGTTTAGGGTTTAGGGTTCTTAGGGATTTAAAATTTTAGATGTCAACACATGAAATCCACATCGACCTGCTAATCTCCTGGGATTGAGGGTTTGGGTGTTTGGGGCAAGGGGGTGAGCTTGTGTCAGTAGAAACAGAACCCTGAAGCCTCACAACGCATGACATGGGGGGTGTTCAGGGGCTTGGGAATTTAGTGGGATGTGGGGTTCATGGTTTGGGTTTGGAGTTCAGGGTTTAAGGCTTTAGGGTTTAAGGGTTTGGGGTTTCAGGGTTTGGGGTTGATGGTTTTAAGGTTGGGGTTCTAGTGGACCCCGCTGGGATGCATCTGACCGACCTCCGAAAGTCCTTGACAGCAAACGCCGCGGCCACTGCCAATGTCCTGCACCACCAGGTGCTCTAAGAAGGTTTGAGGCTTCGGGTTGGGGTCTTAGGTACTTTAAGGTTTTTGGCAGAAAGGCTTGAGAGTTCGGCTTGGGGGGCTAAGCTAATACATGCAGTTCGATGATGCAGCCTCTAGGCCGCAAACCCTCAGGCCATGACTTCTGTTGTTGCTGCGATTAGCTCTTGTTTCGATGATAAACATAGCCATATTCATGCTTAGTAGGTTACTATCATCCTGTCCTTCAGGTCCAACTTCGGGTGGCGCTCAGACCCAGCAAGCAGGTCGCTCAGCTCCTGGCGTTGTTCGGGGGCCAGATTCAGAGTTCAGGGCTTAGGGCTCTCAAGCGCACACAGCAGAAGGGCACAACCCCTAAAGGAGGGGAAACAAACGGGCACAAAGTTGGGGGCACTTCGGTGCACCTAGGGCTTCTAGGCAACCTCTGCAGATTTGCATTGCACAACGTCACGCCCAAAGAGCTGTTGCCCCTTTGGGGTTCGAAACAAAAGGATAGGGACCAGACGTCACCCTGAACAGAGTGGGCTTACAGGGGTACGGAGAAATGTACCCACCAGCGCCCGCGTGCGATCTGCCTCGTTGTAGATTTCCAGGTAGGACACCGTCACAGTGCTCTCCGTGAACTCGGGATGCGCCTTGCGCAGGTTCAGGCTTTTGGGGCTTTGGCCGTCTGAACCGAAGGTAGAGCAACGAAGATATGGGAAGATGCTCAAGAGGCCCATGCTTGAACTGTTTCAACAGCACCACCACCCTTGTGCTCACGAACCTCACGCCTGAAGCATGGGAAGCCTGAGGCAACACCCCTGGAAGAAAACCCGAAACCCTAAACCCTAAACCCTAACTCTCCAGAAGTCGCTCTGCCATGTGTGCCATGTATGGCATGTCTGTCCAGCACGACACGAAGTACTATTAAGCATATTCATAACATTCATGATATTAATAGCAATAATAATAATAATAATAATAATAATAATAATAATAATAATAATAGTAATATAATAGTAATATAATATAATAATATAGTAATATAATAATATAATATAGTAATAATAATAATAATAATAATAATAATAGCAATAATCACAATAATAATAAGAATAATAATAAGAAGAAGAAGAAGAATAGCAATAAGAATATTTTTTAAGAAGAAAAGGTTAATAAGATGAACAATATTCATAATAGGAATGGTTTGAGTCGCATCAAGGCCGCTACGAGGGCTTCAAGCACAGCAGCGGCAGTGCGAGGCACTAAGCCACGTCCTCTTGGGTGTTTTTTTGTGGACTGTAGGGTTTAGGGTTTAGGGTTTAGGGCTTAGGGCTTAGGGCTTAGGGCTTAGGGCTTAGGGCTTAGGGCTTAGGGTTTAGGGTTTAAGTTGGGGTTTCGGGTTTAGGGTTGAGGGTACTGAGAACTGCAGGCCCAAACTCTTCGCACATCTGAAAAACTACCAGACACCTTCGCTGGCGCCATGCAAACTTACAAGTAGTGTGAGGCACATAAGTTCACCGACCCCCACCCCCGAAACACAGCTCCGTGCATGAAGCTTAACTAGAGCCTGCACCCCCGAACCCTTACCCCTCTCAACCCTTCCGATCACCGAAGCCCGGCACTGAGGTCCTTCCGCTGAGTCCAACTGTCCCTCCATCCTGGCCACGTTGGGACTTCTTGGGGCTTTTGGGTGGCCTGCTGGCCTTCAGGAGGGCGCCAACCTTGGGGGGGGCTCTTGGAAGAACTGGGTTTTTGAGACTGGCCATCCATCTCACGGCTTAGCTACAGGGATCTGTCCCTGGAAGCAAGCGTGGCACGGGTACGTGTACCTCAGAAGGACAAAAGCAGCGCTTGAGCTGGCCACAAGGGTCGCAAAGCTGGAGCAACTGAGGTTTGTGCGTTTTTCCTGTACCCGTCTGCCCATACGCAAAGGCTGTCGTCTCGTACCCTGCCAGCACCTGACAAAGCCAGTGGACCAAACCTCTTTTTGCCCTAAACTTCCCAAACCCTCTTGCAGTCACCCCGGCCTGGCCAACCAGAGGTTGCAAAGTGGCCCGAAAGACATCTTCTTGGCTGCTGAAGGACGTGAGGACGTCATCAAAGTGGAAGGTTGATCTCACCTCACAGATCAGGACCCACTGAATCAAGGGCAAAGCACGAAGAGCCACTCCCCCTCAGCCACACAGTAAATCCGGCCCCTTCACGGCCTGGCGGGTGCCACCGGCGAGGATGCGCACCTGAGCAGCACAGCGATGCAAGCAAGAAGTTTGATTGGGCTGTTAGCCTCGGGTTTAGGCCTTGGAATCCACCAAACCCGGAGGAGTGATGGGGAACCCAGAAACCCTGACCCAAAACCAGGTACTCGAACACTCTCCATCTTTGAGCCCACTGCAACGGCAACTTCCTTGCGTTCGGTGGAAGCCGTGGCTGCAGGTGTGGCCCCTGCCTGCATAGGATTCTGTCCCGGAGCCAACGAGTTCTTAGGGGGTCTGAGGACTTGGCGTTCCATGACCGTATTGAAAAACATCGTCTTGCTTGCCCTGCCTTTTTCTCGCGGTCGTTCATGGGCCGAATGCGGCAGACCACTCGCACGTTGGTCACAGGAATCTGCGTGGCAGATTGAAGACGGCTTAATGTTCAGGAGGCATGGAGGTTTAAGAGGTCTGGATGGTAGGGATTCATGCCCCAGCACAATGTACACCCCAAGAAATCCCGAGCACTTCCCGGCGTCCTCGCCATTGCTGGCTCCTGTGGGCGTGGCTGGGCGGCTGCGGGCTTGCCTGGTGAAGCACATCTTCAGAACGTCTTGCACGCGCTTCACACGGGTCACAAGCGCGAAGCCGTAGAATTTTTGAAGACCGAAAAACACGCACAGCATCTTGCAACAAGCAGGCGTTTCCTTCGGCATGCCGTCCCACGGCTGTCCGGGCCGCACTCGGGGTCATACATCCTTTCTACAAGGAGGGCAGCTCCTTTCGTAGTATCTTCGACTTCTGGTCCCTAACAGCTGCAGACAAGTGTGTCGGCACCTCCAACCCAAAAGGTCTCCACACAAAAATGTCCATGTGTATCAATGTGTTTCAGAATGCTGCAGAAGCTTTCGGGGGCAGTTTACACAAACTCAGAGGCGAAATCCTCTGCCAAGGCCAGGCATGCCGACCAAGCGCCTAGCCAACGAAGAAACCTTGCATGGAGAGCCGTCTACGAAACAAACCACCTGTGCAATTCTTGTGCTTGCATGCCATCACCAACACCCCTCATTTCTGTGCGATAATCGCTCGGAAGTGGCGCCATGAACACATGAACAGCTGGGCCAGCGAACGTGGGCGCTGGCCATATGCGGAAGTCTGCGCAGGTTTGGAGAACACCACACATACGTTCCCACGCAAGTGGACACGGTGACTTTCGGATCTGGCCGGCCATATGACGGCCGAGACTCAGACGTGCTGAAACAGCGTATTCCAGCGCGAGACTTTCAGCAAAAGCATTCGCCACCTGTACTGTTGGCGCACGCGGTATCAGCAAGGGCTGAGCCTGCGGCGCAAGCGGGATTCTCTAGACACTGACGTCTGGCCTAGCCTCTGACACCAGGACACCTACAAATTGGCCTTCATGTCTTCTTGCCCCATGGCTCTTACATCTGCCATACTGTCATAGCCGCTCAGAAAGAGTCTCTTGGCACAGAGCCATAGTTGGTGCTGAACCAGAAACTTCCAAAAATTTTGTCGTTCTTTGAGAAGCTCTGCCGTAAGTGGCTCGATCTCAAAGCGAGACATGTCATCCTCTGTCATATCCATAACGGAACCGAGACACTCTCACTGACGTCGGCACGATCTCACGCCAGAGTCTGAAGATCAAGGCCACACATGGGTGATAAACCCTGAAGCCTGATCTTTCTCTCAAGGCTAAAGATCCGTGAAAGAGTCCCCATGAGTCGAAGGACTTTCCCCCTTGAGGCTGGAAATGCCTTCTGCAACCATGGAATCACCACATTGCTCGAGGCCGAGCAATTGCAGCAATTCACGGCCCGCCACATCCGCCATGGCTTTGAACAGAGAACTCACTTCCTATCTTCCCAAAATGCAATTGCTGCAGAAGTTCGCCAAGCAAGTTTGTCAACAGCCCTCAGTGCCTCCTACCAGGCTGCAGCAATAACCTGACATTTTGTCTCCAAGAACCGCGATCAGCCTCCCCTAAACGGAAACTGTGATCTAAAACCATTGTCACCAGGCCTGTGCCCGCCGACTTCGGCGACAAACTCACCATTTCAAGGGCAAAGTGGCAAGGCTGATGACAGCGTAGATGCACAAGTAAGCTTGTCGCCTAGAAATAAACAGGGTGGCCCCTTTGCTAGTTTAGGGTTTAGGGATTTGGGGGTGCTTAATGGAGCACGGAGCTCAGCCCTAAATGAGGAAGAGTACAAAGCGGTCCTGTTCAAACTCTAAACCCTCGACCCTAAACCAGCTGGCCCCCCTAAACTCTACACCCTAAACCCGAAACTTTACTTCAACCCCAAACCCTTATGATCCCTTGCGCTCCCCTGGGCGAGGTCAACCAGCACCTGACCTCGTGGCAACCAAAAAATCGCACAGAAAATAGCTTTGGGTTAGGGCTTAGGGTTTTGCGTCCAAGGTTTTATTGTGTTGAAATGGATTCGCGATTAGCGAGACGAAGATCATCCTCCCAATTGTGAACAGGTTGGTTCCCTGTGTGACGGGAAAACAAGTGTTTCACGTGTTTCTTTTTCCGAAACGCGCGTTTTTCCTGCGCCCTTCTCAGAATGTGCTCGCGCCCATGGGAAACTTCGTGTTGGAATGGGCTTCCACGTCTCATTGACTCCTCTGCTTCTTGGTGGGTCTGATGTCCTCCTCCCTGCCTTCTAGCCACCGCACAGCCTCCACTCGAGGCTTCCTCCCCATGCAATCAGCTATGTTGGTATCAGCCCTAGCCTCCAACAAGATCTGTGCCACGGACCGGTGCCCCTCCTCACAGGCCAAGAACAAAGGAGTTCTCTTCATGAAATCAGGTTTCTCTTTGTCCGCACCCGCTTCAAGCAGCATGCGGGCCACTTCCAGATGACCCTCCACACAGGCCTGCTGAAGGGGACATTCTTTCATCACGCTGGACTTGTCCGTGTCCGCGCCGACTTGCAGTAGCAAGCGGACGACGTCTGCGTGCCCACGCTTCGAAGCCAACAAGAGAGATGTCTCTCCCGAGTAAGTCACCGTGTCTTTGTCCATGTTGGCCTCCAGCAGCAAGCGAAGCACCTCCCTGTGCCCTCAGAAGCAGCGAAGAAGGAGTCCACTGAGTCCACATCCCGAAAAGAACGCCCCAACTCCTGCTTTGCGCTGAGCAGCACGCTTACCACTTCAGAGTGCCCGAAAAAACATGCCCAAAAGAAACAAGATCTGCCATGCGCATCTTTCTTTTCCACGTCGGCCCCAGATTGAAGCAACAATCGGACTATGTCCGGCTTCCCTGCCATACAAGCCTGCGATAAAGCCTGGTCCTGTGGGGTACCATCCAGCAGAACCTCCCCTTCCTCCAGCAAGTCACCCTCTAGTAGGACACCAACCATTGCCAGGTGTCCACGCCCCGAGGCCACCTGAAGCGGCGTTTGGCCTGCAGTATTCGGTTTGTTCTTGTCTGCACGGGCTTCCAAGAGCAAGCGAGCCACCTCCACGTTGCCCTGCGAGGAAGCTGCCACAAAAGCATTGCTCAGCTCGGTTCCCAGTTTGCGCTGTCCAGCAGTCCTAAGCAACGCGCGAGCAACATCGCTGTGCCCAAAAAAACATGCCGCATGCAAGCAGCTCCATCCATGCTCATCGGTGTTCTCTATGTCAGCCCCTGCCTGCAGCAGGAAGTGAACCGTGCCCAAGCTACCATTTCGACAAGCCTGCATCAAGCTGGTGTCCGTTTCGGCACCCGCTTCCAACAACAGCCTCGCAATTTCTGTGTGGCCTCTCTCGCAAGCGAAGTAAAGCGGACTTTGCTTCAAGTCGTTGGCCTTGTCTTTGTTGGCGCCCGCTTCCAGGAGCACTCGAACCACGTCCAGATGACCATGCGCACATGCCCCATGAAGCGACGATCCCAAGACGCTTGACTTGTCTTTGTCTGCACGAGCTCCCAGCAGCAAGCGAACCACATCTGTGTGTCCACACGCAGAAGCCCGCACCAAGGGCGTGCGTTCAAACGTGTCAGGCTTCTCTGTGTCTGCGCGAGCTTCCAAGAGCAGAGTAACTACTCCTGCGTGGCCTCGTTCAGAACCCACAGCAAGACACTCATCCGACACATGAGCACCACTTGCAGAATTCCCTGCACCCTTGCTTCTATCATCGGCAGCCATGTTGGCTGAAAACTCCAGCAGATAACGGGCCATCTCTGTGTGTCCGTGCTGGCAAGCATACACTAAGCTGGTGTCCTTTTCAGCGCCAGCTTCTATCAGCACACGAGCCACATAGTAATGCTCTTGCTCACACGCGAGGCAAAGCGGAGTTCTTTGTAGACAATCACGTCGGTCTTTGTCAGCGCGAGCTTCCAGCAGCATGTGGACGGTGTCCCAATAGCCACTCCAGCACGCCTCATGCAAAGGCGTTGTTCGAATGTACTTGCTTGACATGTCCATGTCTGCTCGAGCTTCCAAAAGCAGGTGGACCACGACCCGGTGTCCATTTACACACGCCAGGGACAAAGGAGAGTCCTCCGTATCGGTTAGCTTGCCCATGTCGGCACGGGCTCCTAGCAGTAAGCGGACCACATCTGCTTGCCCTTGCTCACAGGCTCCGTGGAGTGCCGTGTATCTCATGTGGTCAGCTTCGTTCACATCCACCCTAAGTTCTAGCAGCAAGTGAACAATGCCTACGTGACCTTCATCGGCAGCTGCAAGCACAGGCAACGGCATGTCTGCGTCGGTCCTTTTGATGCCTTTGTCTGCTCCAGCATCCAGCAGTTCGCGAACTATGCCCAAGTGCCCATTCGAGCATGCCAAACTCATGGGAGTCGAATAGTGCATGTTGATGACGTTCTTGTCAGCTCTGGCTTCCAGCAACAAGCGGACCACATCAACATGACCTTCAGCTGCAGCTGCCAGCAGGGGCGAGCTGCCGTCGACGTGGGGTGCATCCTTGTCTGACCCAGCTTGCAGCAGCAAGCGAACTATCTCGACGTGCCCCTCCTCGGCCGCTTTGAACAGCGGAGTGCACTGCTCACCATCGGCCGCGTCCCTTGCGGCGCCATTCGCCAGCAGCAGGCGCGCCAGCTCCACATGCCCCTGCTCCGAAGCCCGGAGGAGGGGAGTTCCCCACGCCTCATCGCAAGAATCCTGGTCTGCTCTAGCTTCTAACAACAAGGTTGCAGAAGAGCAACATCCCCCTGCAGCAGCAGCGTGCAAAGCTGTGGTCCAGCTCCAGGAAGTGCAGAGGTTGGGATCTTGGGGTCGTTGAAGCTTGACCTCGACCTCCTGCACGTTGTCATTCCATGCTGCCGTGATGAGTTCCTCGGCGTCAGCATCGGAAGAGCTCAAGGCCTTCTGGAAAACGGCAAATGTACATAGCGAAGTAGCTTGAGTCTCACACATGTCGCTTCTGTGCGGTTCTGAAATTGACAAGATTCACTCGATGCAGAGTTCAAACTCCGTTCGCCCACGCCACGACTCACTCAAGAACCTTCCCGGCTTGGGATCGACGTCAACCCAGGAGTCCTCAATGATCTGTTTGGCGTTGTTGATTTGTAGCGCAGCGAAAGTACGACGACGACCAGTAAGTGCAGCCCATTGAACGGTTCTCGGCAGCCCAG